TCTTTAATTTCCTCACACTTAGCAGTCGCGTCCGTACTTGCGTTTTCATCCCCAAGCTCAAGTAGTTGGTTTGTTGATAACTGTTTTGCTGCCATAGTTGTGTAAGATTTTTTTGACTGTGTTAAGGTGGATCTCCACTAAACGATTTTTATGACGATCGTCTTAAAAATTCGTTGCGCCACATGCGCAGTAGGAAATAAAAATCGTCAACTAAATTGTCAAGCGCTCGACGAAAAGTAGAAACGGTTTGTTCAACAACAAAATGCGTTTTAACGGAAATTGTACAGGACGAAATCCGATTATGAAATTCTAGAATGGAATATAATCATGACAAAATGCACATTGCAAAGGACAAAATGCGCATTAGTAAATGAAAACATGGCTTTTAATTTTGGCGGGTTTCTACTTTTCGTCTATGGAAGGTAATCTCCGCCAAAATTAACAGCCATATTTTCATTTACTAATGCGCATTTTGTCCTTTGCAATGTGCATTTTGTCTTGATCATATTCCATTCTAGAATTTCATAATCGGATTTCGTCTTGTACAATTTCCGTTAAAACGCATTTTGTTGTTGAACATTCCATTATGATGACGTAACACATTATTCGTGACTCGCAAACATTGAGTTCTATAATAACTGGAGCGGCTATCTCAAGCGCGGCCATTGAGTTCTATAAGACCTGGAGGGGAAACGTCAACAAAATTACTATAATTTATTTAGCTAACTAATGAGCACAATTGGTCAAATTATTATAATATGGAGCCAATGAGATTCAAAAAATGCTCGTGATTGTTTCACAATGTTATTTATACAAAATATTATCAAGGTTGCGACTTGCTGTTGTTGATCAATGATCAGATACAACATGACAAATGCCTATTTCAAGAATAGATTTTAATATTTCAAATACGATTCATCCTGGAGCTCAGATATAGCTACGGTTCGGACAATAGATTGAAAGAAATGCTGGTCAAATTTTGTTTAAGACTCTTGTATTTTGATGTGATCAAACATATTTGTTACATTATATAAATATTAACGTTAACATATTATAAAACAGCAAAGCAACATTTTACAAAGTTTGAGCAATTATGTAATAACTTATAAGTGCTTTCACTGAAAAATGTTTAGAAAAAGCTCCGATTTTTGTCGCCAGTCAGAAATGATTTGAGTTTTTCCATTGTTCCCGATCTCTGTATAATAAATGAAACAAATTGTATGCAACTTTTTCTATTAATGCCTACGCTGTTCATCAGCTTGTCATTCATTTGTCCATCAGTCTTCTTAGTTTTAGCCATTCTGACCTTAATTGGTTTTATATTTAATGAGTAGTTGGCAAACTCTATACATAGTTGAATAGTTTGCTTAAAGTTTTTAAATTAAATGGGTTGTTATATTTTATTGATCAATTTACACCTGTTAAATTAACTGTCCTCTCAACATTTACTCCAGTTCTGTGTTCATAATTTGTGCTCCAATTGTTTGATATTTCTGTATGGTTACCATAAGAGTAAAATGAATGTATTCAAACAAAGCTTCTTAAATTTGTGTTCTTTTTTCAATTCGTTTGTTGTGTTATGATTTTCAATTTTCATGAAATCTCATTCGTGGATATTGCACTCGCTGATAACGTAACATGAGTCGACAAAAACAAACAATAAATTAACTTTGTAGGAACATCATCATTTGCAATTCTAAGTAATTACATTTGCAGACTACACCATCGAGCTACATGCATGCTAAAAAAAAATTAAACATTCCTTGGAAAGTCTGCTCTTTGTATTTCCCTTACAGTTAAAATCCATATAGATGCTGAGCCTATTTTCACCATTATTTGTGATGTGACTATTTGTTCATGTATCTTCTGAAGATTGTAAATCCTCAACCAGTCAAAAAGAACTGACCAAGTTCTAGAACCAGAGCTTATTTTTATAGCAGTCCGGGTAGCATAATGAGTTTTTTGAAATTTTAGATTCGTTTCCAGACCAACGTAAGTACATAATGGAGTGTGTGGAACATGTCAAAGAGCAACAAGCTCATATTGAATTGTCTACTATGAAGCGAGAAGGTTTCTTGATCAACGTCCTAAGGCAGGCTAAAGTGGGGGTCGGTTTGTATAGAATGCAATTTATAAATTATAATGGCGACACAAGCTAAATTTATAAGCTTGCTGAAAAATAAACATGTCAGGGGTGTCGAGTGGCACGCGTGTTGTGAGCAAGAGTAAAGATTAGAAATATAGATCACTGATGAAAAAGGCTTCATACTATAGTTGTACTCTATGAAGCTTCCGTCTGGCGTGTAGTTTTATCTTTCTGCCCATCCCATAAATCTATCGTTGAGCGTTTTAAAGTTGACAATAACAAAAATGAATGAAGAAACGTCGAGTAGCAGCATAACTCCCACAGCTTGAATACTATAAGAGAGTGGTCTGGGGAGAAAAATGCAGTCAAAGGCATTGTGTATGGTGAGCTCAGCAAAGTATTATGTTTTCACTATTTACCATCAATTCTCTTTGTATGTTGCAAGTAGATTGCCCATTCAGTAAATCAAATTTTTATAAAAGTTTAAAAAAGCCATTTTCTTGAAATAATATATGCTGTATTGCTTTTTTTCTACACTTGTACCTTATGATAAAAGCTATGATAGTAGTCTAGCATGAAACCTAAACAGCTTCCGTTTGGTCGCTCTTATTTCAACAATTTCAAAATGCTAATTAGCTACTATTTAGTTGTACTGCAGTGTTATAAAAATTACGTGATTGCTGGTTAAAGCGTGTTTGATAGCTTCTATATATCTAAAGCTATATGTAGATTTTTCACAAATAAAAATACAAGATAATAATATCAATTTTAGTAACTTCTTATCAACTAATGTAACATAATTTTTGAATAGATGTATATGTACAACTTTATATATAAGTGCTATACATAAAATACATGTGTGCAACATTGATGAATTAAATACTTCAGCAAATACTGTCAATACGATTACTGAATTAGAATGTAAATATTATTTTAAGTCTGTCTTGATATACCTCTACAACACTAAAACACCAAAAGAATCAAAGAATTATAAGAAACAAGGTCGTTAAACGCTGTCGTGTCATTAGACTTAGTTCTCTCTAGAACAACACCGTAATCGTTGTTGTAAGTTGTTCAATTTGATTGATAAAATTCCATACTTCAATTTATATTTCTCAAGATTTATTCGCAAATTATAAGCTCCACTGGGAAAGGGACGTGCCAAACACATGTAGCAGGAAGATATGCAACCTACCACGAACGAGTATGGGAATGCGAGCTGCTTCATTATAGAAAATACTAAAGAAGGTACAAATGTTTCAAGATCCACAAGTTTGCCTTCAGAGGATGTCATCCGAAATATAACATAGCAAGCTATCCCCCATCCAAGTAAACGAACGCTTCGTGTGACAAATTTTATTGTGCCAGCAATTCCCTCCAGTTCGTCAATGATGATTTTTGCCTGTGATAGATAGTCATTACAAAGATTAATTTCCAGTTGAGCACGACCATACAGCATTATTGTGTTTTCGCAATGTTTTATTTCCTCTTTTTCAATAAGCTCTGAAGTCCTTTCATATTTCACCTCAATCATACGAAAGCACTCTTCAATATGTTCGAATTTTGGTCTATGGAGAGTCTCTGGGAAGTCAAACGTGTCTTCCACAATTTTCAGATTCGGCATATTTTCCATTATACCAATTTGCTTCAATGATTTATTTGATGTGTGTTTGGGTTTTTCCAAGCAATCCCAAACATAAGCAAAGATGTGAATAATTTTTTTCCAACAATTTTTAAGATACGTCATTTTCATTCTACTGTTCAAGTGTACTTGCGAATGATTTTGATTCGGACAGGCCTTGATATTTATAGGTATGTGTTTAAATGTGTATTAAAGTCATTTTTTCTTTCTGATTTCAATTTTTTCTTTCTGATTTCAGTTTTTTCTTTCTGATTTCACTTTTTTCTTTCTGATTTAAATTTTTTCTTTCTGATTTAAATTTTTTCTTTCTGATTTAAATTTTTTCTTTCTGATATAAATTTTTTCTTTCTGATATAAATTTTTTCTTTCTGATATAAATTTTTTCTTTCTGATTTCAATTTTTTCTTTCTGATTTCAATTTTTTCTGACTTTTATTCTGACTGAGTATTTCATATATATATTACCATTTTTTTAATTTTAAAAAATAATTTTAATTTTCTTTAATTTTATTATTACAATCATATTTACTAAACTACTTCAAATTTTCTTTCTGATTTAAATTTTTTTTTCTGACTTAAATTTTTCTTTCTGATTTAAATTTTTCTTTCTGATTTAAATTTTTCTAACTTTTATTCTGACTGAGTATTTCATATATATATTACCATTTTTTTTTATTTTAATTTTTATATATTTTTATATTTTTTTATATTTTTATTTTTATATTTTTATTTTTGCAATTTTTGCATTTTTTTTTATATTTACTAAGTATTACGGTCTATCTGTCGCATCAACCCGCACCCGCAACCTTCAACCTGCACGTGAGCCTTGATGGGATTTGAACGCACATTCGTGGAATGGGAAGTATTGACATAACCAAATGCGCCATCTTGACACACTTAATTTTTTGAAAATTTTGCATATAAAATTGTTTTGTCTTACATTATTGTCGTCATAAGTACACGTACATGTGACATGACGTCATAAGTACACGTGCACGCTGCCGTAAAAGTGGTGAATCGATAATATGCATTCCAGCTGCTGTCAATCGTTGCGCATTCAATCATGACATAATAAGAAAAAAATGAAAGTTACAATATTTCATAATGATATTTGCGTTGCGTTCTGTCTTCTCAGTACTGATTCCAAATTTTATCTTGAATTCTAAAAGAAACAGTGATCGTTTTGCTACAGAAAATTGGTTAAACCACGAAGCTCTAAAAGAAATTATTGCGCTTTGGTAGTAATTCGTTGTTTAGACATTTCCCTGCTAAGTCGTGTATATCAATTGTATTCTCTATCGTCAGGTGTGACAGTTAAACTCAGATAAACGATATTACCTTCATGCAGTAATACAAATTACAAATTAAAAACTCTACAATGTTGATATGTCCAAGGGTGTTGATATCCTGTTTCATCATCAGTTTCAAATATTATTCATACAGAATGCGTGTACACTTACACAAATTGACTAGCAACATCTCAGTGAGGTGGGATTTTATTTACTGCACGTTGTCAGTTAGCTCGTTTTCAATTTACTCGAAAGTATTCATAAAGTATTTATTAAATGTGCTAAACGCTATCCCGACGAGAAAAATCATTCTGCAACAATTCTAGTCGTCTGTCTAAGTGGTTTAACTGCATCATAAAAAGAGTATGCTTGCGTCGAATCTTTTCAAGATTTTCTCGGAGCTCATAAGCACGTTTTGGGCGGAAACAAGACAACCACAAGTAGCCAGAAATAGCGCAGCCTGCCAGAAGAGGCAACCGAAGGGTTAATTTCTTTACTGCAGCACTCCTCAAAGGGACAACGTAGCTTGCAAGATCCTCGAGTTTAGATGTAGATGATGTAATACGATACAAAGAGTAACACGTGACTCCCCATCCTAGTAAACGCACGCCACGTGACACATATTTCACTATGCTTACTATTTCCATCAATTCGTCAATGGCAGTTATTGCCTCATCGAGAAAATCACGACAAAGCTGTATCTCCAATTGAGCACGACCAACGTATGAGTTAAACATGTCAATTTTGTGAGGTTCGAATTTTCTTGTTAGTTCCACCAAAAGGTCGGACGCCTTTTCAATAACATCCAAAGTTGGATAGTATTTTTCCTCCACCAAGCGAAGACATTCTTCAGCATATTCGCGTTTCGCGCTATACAGATTTCCCGGAATATCTAAGTTCTCCGATATGACTTCTAGCAACTTAATGGTCAAAGTTTGGGAGCCAAGAACTATAACCAAATATAAACATATTGAACAATTAATAGATTTGAAAGTGCCACGTCTTCCGCTTTGTATATAGTAATAGAGAGCTTCAGCTAGAGTACGACTGCGACGAGTAAGAAGTTTGACCGTGTAAGGGAATTGCGCGAGGAAGTTTGTTGTCGTTGTCGCTTCGTCAAAATTTTGTTTAGCTATAAACAACAGAACGAGCCTTTAATTGTGAAAAACACCGACGTTTGCGAAACAGCTACGGCTCCATTTGTCAATAATGATATCAACTAATCGGTAATACTGATTTTGCGAGAACATAGGATTCTTAAGAGTGAAAAATCTCCACTATTTTAAATTTTATGTACGATATATTTATGCTATTTTATTGTTTGTTTACCGTTCACTTTGCGTACGAAATACATGAAAGTTTTCAAGCAGTGGCGGATCCAGCCTGTAACTTAACCCTTTCATAAAATCTCTGTAATGTATTTTATAGGCGGCAGCAAACACGGCTTTTCGTTATCATTGCCAAAAATACAAACTCTTATAGATACATTGACAAAAACAAAAGCAACCGTTTATCAAGTAGAAAATACAAACACCTACCTATGATATGGTACAAGCCTCTTAACACCATCTCGTCCTCTGGTTTATTGGTAGTATCTGGTGTACTTGACGCGGTGTCTCGCATTGTTGAGTCAATGCTATCGATTTGGTCGGTTGCATGGCTATGATGCGATGATTGCTCCAACCAGTCCACAACCAAGCAGACAGTTTTCACAACTTTATTCCAACAATTTGTTAGGCGCTGATGTTTTGTCAATTTCACGTTGTCTTTCGTTTTCTTGATTTCCTGTTGTTTTTGTTCATCGTTTTCAAGATCGCCCATCGAACGTAAAAGTCTTGCGATTTCTAAAATTTGTTTTCTGTTTGCGACAGCAACAGGCCCTTCATTCTTCCCCAAAGGTAATCGACTTGGTCCCTTTGGATGTTGACTAATGTCTAATGCTTTAGATCTTATTGGGGATCTTGCCATACCTGTATTCGTTTGCTAGCCTTGCGAACCACTTCGACAATGCTCTCTCAAAGTCTCAACCAATATCCTATATCGCACAGATGTAACATGATAACAGCGTTGTCAAGTCTTCGTTTCATTTCATTTCTGGTGGCAATTTGTAGGGAAAGCCCCCCCCAAAAAAAACAAGTGAGAAACCTTGCCTTGCGCTGCTAGGTAACGGCACAATGTTCAAACTGCATGATATTTTGCAAACTATTCAACAAGAACGAACAACGATTGCTAAAATGATGATGGCATAGAGCCAATGAGATAATCGGCTAATACTCATAATTATTTCACTGTCTGTGGTATAACTACGTCTAATTAATGTTGTCAAAGTTTTTTTTGGTCCGACTTTGCAGTAATTCGGGTATTAGAAGAAAAATTGGGACTGTCAAGCATTTAATTGGCATCCTTACATTTGTAGTCATAATTTCTCTATTTGACTAGCGCATGTTACCAAGCAACGAGCAAGCGAGTCTTAGTGGTAAAACAATAAGATATGACCAGATTGCTTATCGCTCACCGATTGTCTGCCAAGCAGACCTTTCAGACCTACAAATCAGGTAAAACCACATGTATGCACTTCGTTCTTTTGACCAGGCAATAACCTATCTCTATTGTGCCAAATACCAAAATAGGCGCTATCGTTGCCCTTGTTATCAAGTAATATTAGTAAACAAATAAATTTGCACACAGCTTATTTTATAACTTTCCAACTCCTCCGACTCTTTCGTCTCATTCGTGAGGCAGCTTCAATGAGCGTTGATTTCACTAGTATTTTTATGGAATTGCATGACGGTAGCGTGAATATCATGGACATTCATCCATTACCGATCATCACGAACATAGGTGCTACTGGTGCGATAAGTTTTTATTTGCTGCATTTTTTAAGAAGCCTTGTGATGTCACCATAAATGCACAAGCTGGTAGAGTGCAATCTATATATTTAAATTGCTGACCGAAGCTACATCAATATTTTGTATTTATTATAAAATCTGACAAAAGTTGAAACTGTATTCCCAAACGTATGCTACGCAGAATGCAAGTAGTGCCAAAACTAATTATATGTACAACATTTAAATGAAACTACTTTAAGTAATTGCAATACGATAAATGTTTCATTTAACTTATACAATGTAAACTATAGCTCAGTAAAGAATTCTTGCTGAAGTGTGGTTTTAGTTCTTTTCTGTGATTCACTATATTAAAATATGAACTGATTAGTGAGTATTTGAATGTGCTAAACGTTGCCCTGACTAGGGGGATAAATCTTCGGCAACAACTTCAGTCGTCGATCTAAGTAGTTTAACTGCATCACCAAACGTTTACGTTTTTTCTTCATTTTTTCGAGATTTTTACGAAGCACATACGCACGTCTAGGACGCAAGTAAGACAGCCATAAGTAGCCAGAAATTGCGCAGCCTGCTAATAGTGGTAGAGGAGAGTCTAACACCTTCACTGCAGCACCACTCAAAGGGACAAAAGAGCTTGCAAGATCTTCGAGTTTAGATGTTAATGATACAATACAATATAAAGAGTAACATGTGACTCCCCATCCAAGAAAACGCACACCACGTGACACATATTTCACTATGTTAACTTTTTCCATCATTTCGTCAATGGAAGTTTCAGCCTCATCGAGAAAATCACGATAAAGCTGAATCTCCAATTGAGCACGAGCAACATGTGAGTTAAATTTGTTGATTTTTTTAGCTTTGGGATCTTCAGAATTTTTGGAATCTTTTGCTATTTCGTTTAACAGGTCGGACGCCTCGTCTATAAGATGTAATGTTGGAAGATATTTTTCCTCCACCTCACGAAGGCATTCTTCAGCATGCTCACTTTTCACATTATACAAATTTCCAGGAACATCTAAGTTCTCCGCTAAGGTCATTAGCAAATGGATGTTCAATGTTTGGGAGCCGAGAACTACAACAAAATACATATAACTACTAATAATGTTGAAACAGCCCACGTTTTCCGGTTTGTGATTTGTGGGCCTAGAACATAAAAACTATGTTAACTATGTAAATGCGGAAGACCGACACGTCTTGACAATAACAATCTTTCCTCTTTCGTAATACAACTTCTTGTTGATGTATAAATAAAAATCAAACACTTATATCTATTCAAAAATTATAGTCAAAAATTTTGACTCTGAAGATGACTACCGTTAAGGTTGTCGAAACGTCAGTCAACAACAACAAAAACAGTCCTTCTCAAGACTTTATTAACCTGGAGGATCATTATTTACAAACATGTATTTATCTATTTGGGAACCAAGTACAACAATTTCAAAACTGCTTTGAAAAGGATATGTCAACCAAAATGAGAAATTTTAAAGAAGCGATATGATGACAGTGTTTTCAGATTGCGTTTTGAATGCTTTCATTTTGTTCTCCGAGCGGTTCTCAGCTTCGTTCGTGAAATACCTATCTATATGGTGACCTTCTTATTGGCTGGAAAGAGTGTATAGATAGTCCAGGTGGTCAGGAAGAATATTTTGTCATTCTTGCTGGAATTTCATGTGTTGACCAATCGTGTTTCATCATTTATAATATCATCATCACATGTCGTTTTACATTAAAAGGAAATGCCGATGCAGCTGCAGCAATGTGGCAGAATCATCCGTTTTGAATTTTTAAACATAAAAAGAAGAACGTTAAATTTGTCCATCGTCCCATTCAACTAATCCTTTCTTTTTCACAATGTACTGTATTGGTCAAATTGCCAATGTTATTCTCAGAAATAAGGGGTAGAGAACATGCAGATAATCACATTTTTAATACCACATATCAAAAGGGCCCAGACTCGGCTGAATTTTTAGCAATGCATGAAAAAATTGCGAGTTACTAATTCAACGAATCTTAATTATTCTTTTTTCAAACATTTTCATGACATTATTATGTTTGACATTACATTTTTTGATGAAGTTTATTTATTCCATATGAAGACAGTGAACCACCATAGCTATCGTATCATCAAAAGCGCTTCCCCCAAGTATTTTAACTTCGTGGTTAAGTCAACTGCTTAACAAGACTTATGTTCATAATAAAAATGACGTTTTGCTTCTGTTAAAGAAACAAAATTTTATAGCAAATGCAACCATGACGAAGATGTCCTGAAAGCATGTAATAACAACTTTGTTTTATTGTTTTGAATAAATTTAATTCCATTTCCAGACTTCATGTGCTGTTTCGCGCATTGTTACAGCTCATCATATTTAGAGAAATTCCTAACTAAATGAAAAATTGAGGAAACTTCCCTTTTTGAAGCAAAACCTCGGCAACATATAGCAGCATTTTGTACTTGTAATAAAAAAATAGCAAATATATATGAGCAACATTTGTCAAATAGTGACAACATGGAGCCAATGTGATTCAACTAATCCTCGTTTTTGTATTGTTTCACAATTATATGTGCACGTATTATTGTCAATGTTGTTTTTCGCCAGCTATGAAATAACATGATGACAATGACAAGAATAGATTTTCTCATTTCAATGACAACTTAAGGCTTTGAAAGAAAAGATGTGTTAATCAAACGTTCTTGAATAGATCTTCGACTTTTTATACCACAAATTACAATAAAATATTACAAGATCATAAAATTACATTTTATATTTTACAAATCATGCATATAACAAACTATTAATCAACTTTTATACACACTTTTAACAGAAATATTTTCACAAAACGTTATTTAAGGTACTAAATCATGCAATTATTTAGAGTTCGAAAATCTTAGTGAAAATTACATTACAAATTTAAGCAAACTTAAAGTTTACATAAAGCTATGTTTTTGCTTATTTTAATGCGTAAAATAACACAGCTGAGTAGGTTTATCACGGTTCAATGTTTGAAAACAGAGGGTGAAAAACCACTGCGAAGTACGATGGCAAATAATTATACACCATTTTAGCTAAAGTACTATACACATTTCTTTCCAGGTCGATCTTCCATTTCTCTCAGGACAAGACCATTCTCTCTAGTATTAACACTTCGTGGCTTAAGTAACATTACTCAATATTGTAAATTGTAGGCTACAGGAACATTAAAACCCGGATGACCCCCTATTTTTGAATGGTCCATCTCTAAAATCTGTAGTGCTCGTCAAGCTTATGCGCAAATCTTCCAGTTTCTCCTTCAACAAACAGTGTTGCGATTCGAGTTTTGCAATAGACTCGTAGAAAACGCTCTCTGTGCCTGGAAATAAGCACATCCATCTTGCCTGATCAAAGGTTAAGATGTATGCACATGCACAATTTGGCTTGTCATCACGAGCGTTGCCATTTCACGTTGCCACAACAAGGTTGCAAGTTTAGCTTTTTTTCTTGTTTGCTGCAAGAGGGCTACAAACGTGCTGTACTTTGAAAAACGCGACGGCATTAGCATATTGCTATCCCCCACGACACTTCATTCAACTTTCAGTAAGACATTGCATCCGGGAAGTTAACTTTAATAACCAACACTCAGACAGGCATGCTCCCGGTTGATTGTCGCTTCAAAATATGCGTTTTCATCGCCAACTTCAAGCAGTTGTCGCTCGTCTTGGTTTAATATTTGTCTGACTGTCATAGAAATGAATGAAAGATACTCAATCAAAGTTTCCCTTTGCTACATGGGTTTCCCCTTGCTTTTTGCTCTGGCTTTTCTATTTCTTCAAATGGAAATATTTCGAGAACTCCCGTGTTTTGAGAAAAAGCCAAATTTGTGCTTTCTCACGTTCTATCATCTTTCTCTTTACCGTTTTTTCAGTTTCTTCGGTTGTATTTTAAAGCCGGTTTTCACAGTTCAGGCAGAAAGCTGGAAAATCGAATAAACCGTCATTTTCCAATTGATTGAAGTCGTAGTGGTGCCGAGGGAAACTTTGCAGAATTCAATTACTTAATTCATGTTTTTCCTTGTGTCAGGTGGCTTCGTGACAAGTAATAGGTAATCACCCATCAATATTTACTTGAGTTAACCTGGCTTGACCTTGATGCAATTGTAATTGGTATGATAGAACTACGTTTACACTTGCGATATAAAATTGTTCCAAACTAATGAGCACAATTGGTTAAATTATTA